CAAATTGAATTCACATAATATATTTTTATAAAATAATTGCAGGTTAGTAATAATGGTAAGATACAATAAAATATACAAACAAACATATTAACGAGCTGAACTGAAATGGGAAGCCGTGAGGGAAAGGGCAAAAAGAAATTGGAGAAGAAATAAGAGCGAAAGAGGCCGAGGAAGGACGCAACGAGAAAGAGCGCGTGACGGCAAAGCGCAGAGAGAAGTATTACTCCGGCACGGGTAACCAACAGAGACCTTCACCGAGACCGAGGAAGGTCGACATTGCCCCTGTACCGTGTGCCCGTCGCACCCCACCCTATAGCCTATAGCAGGCAGGAGCATCCTGGATAATATCAGCCGTCACGAGCAACAGCAGCAGCAGCAGCAGCGGCAGCAGCAGCAACGTAGAGGTAGCAGGCAACCCCTGCCGTCCTACCATGGCATAAAAGAAGACAGCGTCGCCACCACCACAGCTACTGTCATCGTCACTACTACATCTACTATCACAATTTCTCCTGCCTACTGCGCTCACCCTGGCCTAGAGGGATACCCTTGCTCCTGTAACGACTTGACGGGGGTAAGGAGCGACCGTGGCAACGGGGGATGCACGAGGGTCAAGAAGGGCGAGGCGAGGGGTTCGGCGAGGGGGATGAACGCAGGCGCGAACGCAGACGCAATAGGCGGACGAAACGGCGTCGAGCATTCCGGCGACGCCAGACAACGCGGCACAATCGAGACGAGATAATCGCCGTGGGACGAAGCTTTAAACTACCCCGTGACTATCCACCTAGACAGTCGGTCCGCAGCGTCTGAGCGTGTACCAAGGATGGGAGTTGTGAAGACGGCGTCGGAGAGCATTCTCGAGGAGACCGTGGTGCCGAGCGAAGAAGCGAATTACTCGCAGCAGGGTTACGCCGGTAAGGGAGTTGATTTCTCTTTTGTCATTTGTGCGAAAAAAAATGGTAGGAGGGAGGGATATCGCGAGGCCGTATTTCCGGATGGAATTCGACGGAGGCGCAAGGCGAGCGCACCCCGTGATATCAGATGCCGCGATCAAGGTCGCCCCGCCGTTCGCTCGCTCGCTCGCTCGTTCGTTCGGTTTCGGACCGGCTTCGGTGCGGGAATTCGCCGATTGTTCGCGACGCCGTAGCTTTAAAGGCGATGTGGCGAGCCGCCCACCCGAGAGCGACTGCTAACAGGTGTTTGGAGATACAGATATATATCGCCCGCGGGGCTCCCGTACGCCAGCACTGCCGGGAAAATCCAATTCTCGCTGTTGTAACATTAGGCCGTATTTGCAGTCAGACAATTAAGCACGCTTCGATTCACGGTTTACAATTTATTCTAAGGAATGATAACAACACCACTCGGTCGCGAATTCGTCGGTGAATCGATTACACCACCGATTAGCATTAATTAGTGGCAACAGCATTAAATTGGTAAATTATAACACAACAAACACGCATTAAACATGCATTCTTTTAAATGTGTTGAACTAAAGCATTCGAGATGTTATTTGAACGTTAAAAATTGATGAGAAATTAACATTACGTTTATAAACTGTATGAATTACTATGCGAGAGTATTTCAAAATTTGATGTTTGATTATAATCTGATAACATCGCGTCCTAATTGATTACAGTTTATATATTGAATCACGTAATTCGCATATTGAGATTCCTGTATATCTCCAAACATTAAAACGATATAGACGTGGTGCTCCGTTAATGTTAATGCTGTCGGCGTCGCGTTGCTAATGTCGCGACTTGAGTATGATATAGCGCATACCGCTTCTAGTACGAAAAAGCAGAGCTTTAACTATTTATACTTGTAAGAATCGATAAGTGCCGCGATAAAGTTTTACAAAGCACAAGGCGATTTCCCTTCTATGTCCTCACTCTCTGACAGTGTTGGCGGAAATTAGCAGATGAGATAAATAGAATATTGTCTGTCGATCATTCGAGCGAGAAACATATGATCCAGATCTACTTTCAATACGGATATTGCATTGTATTGATTAAAACCAGGTTACCAGTAAACTGACCCAATTTCTGGCCGATAGGCATAAGTTTCGAATCGATTAGGCCACGCGAATTAAAGCTACGTGGAGCATTTGCAAGCTAATTAGCCGCATTACATTTCCTTAATTTTCGAGTTTACTTTCATATGTGGCACCCATGAATAATTTACTCCTATCCTGTGATTTCCCGTTTATTCCAACCGAATTATTCATAAAATTGCTTTCACAAAGAGTATTTCCACATGTTGTTTTCACACGTATTATAATAAAATTAATGTAAAACAAGACAAGGTAATTTTACGTTATATTAACGTAAGTCCTTGTACAAAAAAAAAACATTTTATATTAATTCAAAAGGAAATCACGTTTCGTTGCGAGAACATTTAATTCACATATCGTTCGTGCAAAAATAATACAGAAAAACACTTTGAAAAATGTGGCAAGCTTCTTGTGATAAATAACGTCGAAAATTTTTGCCCTTGGTTTCATAACAACCAAATGATTCAATAGAAAGCTTACAATCTTTTGAGAAGAAGCTACACACACTTAAGCGTTCGCTTTCATGAAAAGGCGTAAGAAAAACTGATAGCGAGATATTGAAAGATTGAATAGTTTTGCATGGTGACTATCCATCATCTATCCTATCCTATCATTATAACGATATCATCAGTGTAATTAAGCTTCATGATACACGTGTATAAATTGACGTCAATTAACTAATTTCCAATATACAAGACATATTTCTTGCATAATTATAATTTTATTTTTAACAGTAGGTTAAATTTTATTTTATTATCTTATTTTTAATACCAAGATAATATTATATTATTTTCATTAGTATTGATTAATTACTTGGTAAATCTCTTCTGTCAATTTTCCCTATGTTTGTAGTATTTAGAAAGACACATATTAACTATGAGTGGAGTCAAGACAAATCAATATTTACCAGTTCAATCCTAAGGGCAACAAACCGAAAATTCGACAGAATTCGACAGAAGTTTACTCGTGAAATGACTTCCATCAGTTACGAAATATAATGATTAATTGATTATTACAAGTTTAATAAAACGTATAATGTATCAGTAATATTTATGATACTGTATAATACCGTAAAACTTAAATGTAGAAATTGATAATTGTGTGGTATCATAAAGAAATGATAAATTTTTCCCATTAATAATTTTTCCCATTAATTTAGCTTTAAAGGATTACCTTCTCGTAGCCTTGAAACCTGTAGTAAAAACATTGCGTATTTTCTAATTTTTATAAAGTATTTGTAATAACTTTTAATGTGGTTAAAGTTGTATAAGCTTTCCATAGACACAGTTTACTTGGTCAAGGACTGTAAACTTTGCTCGTTGAAATTCTCTCAAGAAATCACACGTGTAGAAATTAGACATTTACAAGAAAGGGATAAAAAACTTTTTTCAATTACTTTTTTTCAATTTTTTTTTGCGTATTTGCTATTTAATATAAATTAACCTAACATTTGTTAAATGATTTGTTATCTTAATGCAATTGATGCGTGAAATCCGATTTCATATCTAAAAGGTAAATCCCTTGTGAACGTCGCTTCGAACGATCAGCTTGAAACGCCTGCTTGTTGCACAATAGAATAGCATAGGCTCTTAAATCCAAAATCAGATATGAAATGAAGATATAAGACGAGTATTACGTACTCAATACAATGAAAGGATAGTGACAAAAAATTACAATAACTATATTATTTTTTTTTAGTATCGCATATGTAATTTAATTTTAAAAAATATTTAATAAGGGATGAGAGATTATTTAAGTACGTTATGTTATATTTAGTTCACATTGCACGTGTCTAAAGACAAAGTCACGTTCGGATGAACATCAACATTATTGGGTTAAAAAAATAACGTTCGCATAAAAAAGTCGTCACAGTTTAGTTAACAAAGTTATTATGCATGAAAAGCATAATATTGAATATCAAAGAGGATTTATATCGGGTGTCTTCTATTTAGATATCTAGAAATTCGTAGCTTTAACGAAATATATTAAAATGACAAATATGAAATAAACATATATTAACATAGAATAAGCATGAGATCAATTACTAAAATATCATGAAAGTTTAAGATATAATTGCATTTTTGTCTTTAATTTAGGCTAGATTTTGTCACACATCTAGATTGAATATTTATTTAAAAAATGTATTAAAAAATTTATTATCACTTGTCTATTTCAAGAACAAATTTATTAAGCTTCATTTTCGGATTCATCGGTCATTCGTCCAGCGAAATTAAATTCTTCCTTTTCAGAATTATCAATTCCTTCATACTCTATTATCTTCATCTTTTCACCTATATCTTGCATTTTGCTTTCTTCTGTTTCTTTTGTGGTACATTCATTCTTTAGGAAGTGAGCTACATCAGCCTTCAATTTCTCCGTCGGAAGGACATCGTTTTGTTGCCGGCTGATAGCATCCAAAAGCATACTCATTGTTTCCGTATAATCCGGCTCGAACATTTTTCCCTCGGGATTCTTTTTAAATAAATACTCAGCCTGGAACATAAATACGTTTATGCAGTACAATAATCTTAAAACGCGTCGTGAGTTTGAATGTCAAATAACAAAGCAACATAAGCAAAATATTTTTATCTATAAACATATTTTAGTAAAATAAAATCTAACGAATTAATTGAAATCGCAAATGAAACGTAGTAGCTTCAATTAATTCTGATTGAAAGCAAAATATCTTTAGACAATTATTACATTGAAAGTGACTCAAAAGTACTTCAACTCACAATAGAGTCCCTTTTTAATTGAAATGCGTATATAGAACTTTTTCCGGCTGTTGTAATTTCTATAATTAATTCGGCTCTGCTCCCGCATTCTTTATTCGTACACGAGAATATGCGAGAATGTAGGATCGACCTCATAATCTATTTAAAAACAGGTCGTGTACCATCCTTCTCCATCTACAACCGATATTACGACCGACTTTCACTTTCAATGTCGTTCGTCCTACTTTGCTCTGATTTTTGCAACAGAACTCTTCTTGCGGTCTAACACTGGACAACCCACGTATCGTTTTACCTTCACACCATTTCAATTCTCCTATATCAATGCGAAAGCTTTGCTGCAGCGTTGTTTTATTTTTAGCAGCAACAATGATTGGCACAACAATGCGGCTATCATAAACGCCACCATGTAGTTTTGCCGTAAACAATACCCAATGCGGGATTGTTCCACAATAAGCGGAAATGGCGAGTCTGGATTGACATTTATAAAATATGAAAGTTATAGAATTTTATTTTATAACTGTTTATCGTGTATTAAACGCTACATTTCATTATTTTCTACTATTATATGATGATTCATGAAATTTGACAGTTAATAATAATAGAAATTTAATAATGTGCCTTTTTGTATTATGAACTAGTAATGAATTATTATACACATATGCGAATATCAACCACCAATTGTATGAGGTTTGTCACTGTTAATAAATTAGTTACCATTACGGTATAAACGTCATCTCCATATTTTACACGTGCATGAATATCAATGTAGTGCCAGTACAATAGAGTCAATAGTGACCTCAAGTGTCACAGAATACTTTAACAAATGAGAATATAACTAATATCATTAATGATACCACACACATTACAGAGATAATCCGAACAACATTTCATGCAATAAAATGAATAAAATATAAAGTTATAAGAATTTTTAATAAAAAGGACTTAACTCAAATAAGCATTGGCCATTATTTGCTCCAGATTACATTAAATAAAAATGTGTTAGCCTGTTTTTTCTATATGCATTGTTTTCCTTCAATAGATTTTCGCAGGTAGCATTCACGTGCCATTTAATGTATTTTATCCAATTTTCTCCGATATATCGATGTTGTGATATAACTTTTTAATGGATGTATCTACCGTTACGTCGTTATGATCGCGATGGATTTAAACTTGAGTTTCACGAGACGAGATTTATTACATGAATAGAAAATCAAAATCTCGCTAAATACAATGTTTTTTTATTTTATTTTCTTAAATTTTTTTAATTTTTTATTACAAAAATAGTTGTTATATAAATTTTATATAACAGTCGAGATATTTGTTATTTTGAAACTCGTTTAGCTTCTCATTGAAATTGTCTACCGAGTACGTATATCTAGAATGGCAATTTGTGAAATCCCATAAAACGTTTATTATATTTACCATTCGTTTGTGTTTATAGCAGTTATGTAAATATTAGATTGTGCATCGCATTCGTAATTTCAGCACAATCATGACGTCCCATACGTCGTACATTCCACCTTGTTATTAATTTTCCTTTGTAAGTTGGTCCGCGCGACAAGCTCTTATGCAAGAACATCTAAAGATACTAGCTTATTGTTGCGTTATCGTGTTCTATTACCTTGCAATCTCGTATTCGCTCGTGTCTCGATATTTCCCAAACGTTAGAATCCTGATTTGTTTGCACGCGGTCCGCATAGAAATGATCACATTATCTATGCTAAGAGACGCTACAGCGGTTTTATCGTATTGCACACGTCGGTAATAATAGAAAGCACATGACTCAGAAAATTCAGTTGAGGTAAGACTACGCAAACCTAATGTAATATTTGGAAAGCAATACATCTACATTTACGATCTTAATGATCACGTTTTTTTTTCTAACTCAATAAAATAACACAGAGGCATTTTGCACGTTGGAGTATACAAAATAACATTAGTAAATCTCTACAGTCTGTGATAATACAAGACAAATATAAAAATAGCAAATTAGAGACTAACGATTTTTAAAAAATTTTGTTAAAAATTTTTATAATAAACAATTTAGATGGATATTGTGCAAAAAAATATTGGTATCACTTTGCTACAAAACAAGAGATATTTTTTTCGAGACTACACGAATACGATCGATCGAAGTGACGCGACAATGAAATTTTTATCAGCTAACATTCCCTCCCATTCAGTTCATCGGCCTGTGGATTTTCGATGAAAAATGTGTTGCTAAAATGGAATTTAAATAGTTTAATATGATAAGTTCTTGCATTATAAATTTATAAGGATCATCAAAAGAATATCAGCAAAAAAATATAAAAGAACATTTAATTTTTAGGAAAACTTAAATTACTGAACAAAAAGACTCGATTCTTTCTATCACTGAAAAAAATAGAGAGTTTATAATATATAATTGAGTGTAGTCGTAAATGTCTACGTCAAAGCAATTTTGAAAAAAACATACATTGTTTTTTATCTGACTTGATAACATATTTTGAGACTGCATTTATTTGAAATGATTGCCTTTTAAATAATGGATTCTGAAAATCAGACATGTTGCTGTAATAACATGATACGCCAATTCACCAAATTCACTGGGAACATCGAAAGTAATGCGAATTTACTTTATCGTTATATCTCTCTTTCCTATGTCTCTCTGTCTCTTTCCTTCTATCTTCTCTTTTCTCCTCGTATCCCTTTAGCCTCGCTACGACACTCTGTCTATCAATTTATGGATCTATGTATATACAATGAGAACTTTCTATTACCAATTTTAATGAAAAAAATCGCTGTTTGAAAGAAAACATTATAATGAACTGAAAGTGGGCAAAGAACTTTCTCCTACGTAGGCGATTTTAAGATTAGGGAAATAGAAAATTGAAAAAATAAAGATGTAGACGATAAAATCTGTTATTCATAAAGAGGCTGCAAAGAGGATTATAATGTTTCACGTCGGCAAAATTTATCTTATAATATAGCATCCAGAATATGCATATTCTACATGCTGCATTATAAAATATGCACAAGTACATACACACTTATCTTTTAATCAACTTTATATATAAAATACATACAGAATATTTTATAAAAAATATTTAAAGTGTACATATAAATAAAAATAAATTAATAAAATATAATAAAATATATAAAATATAGATAGAAAAAAATTCAGTTTAATTAAGTTCAGTTCAGTTTAATTAAGTGATGATAGTATAAAACTTTAAATTGTAGGATTACGTTTGTACGACCTCTGAAGAGATCGTGAATAACAGAATGAATTAAAACGATTACTGAAGCCGATAGTGAAAAAAATTGCCTCTGCCCTTTGCGTTTCTTTATAATAGTGAACGATCAAAACCGACGAAGCTCGAAATCACGAAATTATAGATAGAAGGTTCCGATATCGACAGAGAGCCAAGAGAACGGTCATGCTCTTATTCCTCCTGTGGTTCGATGCTCCGGAGTGGAATGGCGTTTAATCGTGAGCAGCAACCTATCGATTTTCACGGGAACGGGATTCGAAGTGTGAAAGTTGTTCTCGTATTCGCACATGTGAAATGTTCCTTTCGCGGCGATTACCGAACTGTGTCAAAAATTTAGCGGAATTACCTAGTTTGGCGATGTCTTAGAGTGGACATTCGCACACCAAACAGGTCCCAATAGAATTTTATTTGCCATTCTGTGTCTAACGCTTTCACTCCCGTTAATTGCAATCGTTTCACGTATGTATGCGAGTTATCATTTTTCTCATCGGATATCTTTCAAACAAATTATTATTCAAGATTGCTACTTAAATTTTATATACAATTATTAACTATTTATTGAAAATTGTTTAGTAATAAGAAAGCTATTTTAATCTCAAAATATTTTTGCACTTCTAAAATAAAATATTTTATTTATTTAATTGAAACATCATGAAACATCACAAAATAATAATTTATAATAAATAATGAACAATTTAGAGTTTGATAAATGAAAAAATAAGTTTCAGTACAATGAATATCGACTTGTAAATATCTATTTTATATGCAAAACATATATTTGACAATTTTAGAGCTTTAAATAATTTAAAATAAATAAAATTTTATTAATAAACATTCTATATGTAAAACTATATAACTCTTTTTTTATTGTTCCGGTACGCAATTTGATTACGGCATGGTGACCGTTAAATTCGATACAGCACGTTTTTTATGAAACGTGCAGTATCGTCTCAGTTTGCTACAATGATCGATACATCTGTGTAAAAAAGGGTCATCTTTTAATTTGTCTTCCGAGCGTATTATTATTTTCTCGTCTAATGGAAAATAATCACCAAACATTGCACTATATTCCCGGGTGTGCCAAACAAACTGTGAATTTAATGGAATTAAAAACGGGTTATTCCACGTAATTACTCTTAAGTTTCTTCAGTACAACAAGACTGAACTCATTTAGACTGAACTCGTTTAGACGGAGTTTAGTCTGCCGGAACGCAGCAGATACCATAATCCATTTGTCGCGGCACATTGTTCGAGTTTGACAAGTTAATTTTATTAGCAAATCCATTTTACATTCTTGCGCAGCAGAACTTTTTCGCTTCTCACTACACAGTTTTTATTTTGAGCTATTACTACC